CAATTTGAGTTGAATTACTGAAATAAATGAACTTTTCCACGACATTCTAATTTATTGACATGCACCTGTATGTATATATATATATATATATATATATAGTGTACATTGTACATATGCATATATTAAGATGTATCAAAATATGTGTCATACAGGCTAATATTGTATAGGCCATTCATGTAAATTATTTCATGGACAACAATACAGACTAACATAGGATATGCATGAACATTAGGGAAAGAAAACAAACATTTGGGACATGTTGATTAAATAAAAGCACTTTATTGATAAACAATAGGTAAAAACATGCACACACAAACACACACACACACACAAGCAAGCAAGTTTGTCAGTTAGCCAGAGGCTACAGTCTTGGATAGGGCATCATACGTGGATTGGCTTCAGGTGCTTTTTTGCCGCCTTGGAGTCATAGGTTTGCGGTGGCAATCTACCAGAAGGTAATCCACCCTGCAGACGCTAGTGATGCAGTGCTGCATGCTTTGTACTAGCTTCCAGTCTTGCTTGCAGTGTGGAACACAGAATGCTGAGCTCCTGGCTGCGGAACGATGGAGTTCTCACAATCCACCCAGACACTCCATCAATAGTACCGTCTTCTTCATCAGACATCATGTCAGCAGTGATGCCCCTCCAGAAGTCCACCTCGTCCTCAGCCAGTACACTCTGCCTAGCCTCCAACAGCTGTAAACACAATTGTTACATATAATCAGTACTATGTACCACATCGTTACAGTGTATGCAACAGAAAAAATACAACAGAAACGAATGATTCTAATCCCGTCTTACCCTCTTCCTCCTCTGGTGACTCCGGGCTAAGGTCTTAGTAGATGCAGCCACACTGACTAGCTCTGGTTGGCTGTACCGGAAATTTCTGCGCAGTTTCATAATATGTCTTGCAGGCCACTATAAACAATTAAAGAGATGTGTTAAAAACAACAGCTTCTGTCACGAAAACAGATTCCTCGTATGTGTAAGCATACCTGGCAATAAAGCTCATTCTGATTCTGATTCTGATTCTGAGTATCTCCGACCCTTGAACCTGGTGAAGAGCAACAAACGGCCTGAAGTAAAAAATTGAGGTTTCTGTAAATGTTCGTATAATGAAGATGTGACACACAGCTGCTGTGGATAAACCTAGTGAAATAAAAACTAAAAATGGATGGTTCCCCTTCAGGAACTCAAGCTGTGTCGGAGAACGCTTTGGGAACGCCCCCAGCGTGACCACGCACTGAATCACATGTGTAATCAGTCCAATGGAAGGGCAAGACGTCATAGGCGGGGGGCGTAGCGGCCAGGAAGCTATAACAATACGTGAGGGGGAAACGG